CAATTAATAATCATATATTGTGATAACCCAAATAAAACTGGTAAATATCAAGAAATAACAAGAGAATCGTACAAATATAATGACCAACATAGTTTTACAGAGATAATACATGTTATTAATGTCAATAAAGATAACGCATTTAATCAAGTTCAAATTATTAATATTACTTATGTAAAAGATGGACAACGTATCTATTCTAAATTTATAAACAAACAACAAACAGCAGAATATTATTCTAATCACAGAAACAAATTCTAATAAGTACTAGTAGCAACAAATACAACAATAGAGAGACACACGTGTCATAAGAAGCGACACAAACAAAGTGCTTTTAAAATTGCTAATGAACGGTTGCTTAAACTTGGCACAATGTTTGTGCGAGACGTGAATACTGATTACACAAACGTTGGCCATACAAATGAGATAGCCCAACAAAACACGCAAGTACACATTAAAGACTCAACTTAAAATAAAGATAAACCACTTTAAATTGGCCGTATAACTATTAAAGCCATATGAACTAACATTTGTTACGAACTAGATAAAAATAGATGCAGATTTAGTGGCTATGAGGCCAACTAATGCATTATGGATCGCACTAATTAAATTTTACGCTTTTTATTTCGTGTACCTTTTAAGTAAGTATTACTTAAAAAGTATATTTTTGTTGTGTTTAATTCATATTTAGATAAATATGTGCATACATCAACATTTCTGCATCTTAACTAGTTTTATACAGTTTACGATTTAAATTTAATTTATTCTCTCTCTAATCGACTTTGTTTCTGTGAAATTATGATAGACCTTATTGTATTTACAGATAATAAATTATATAATATTTCTATTCATTTAAAAAATTCTAATGCAAGATAATATTCTTGGTCTTTTTGATCTAAGTTACAAAAAGTAGCTAGTAGTACTTTGTAATTTTTTGTTGCAGTAAAGTCACAAAAGGGACGTGATGTTTATGTTACACTTGCACTTTATATTGCAGATTAGGATGAAACTGTTACAACTGGTCTTGACATGTTTCGACCTGTCTCACAATATATTCGTATCCAGGTAGAGAATAAAATAAGACAGGTAGTGGCCACAGTTTATACCCCGTTTCACAACCTGCTCGGAGAGTTCATTGTTGCTATGCTTTTGTAATACAAAGTTATGAAACAATTTTAGTAGCATTAAAATAAAAAATGACGCTATCAGATTCTTTAACTATTCATACATTTTGCTGACAAAGACACACATCGTGAACGTTTTGTATTAATAGATTTTACATGATGCAATGAAGTTACCCAAGTAATTCGTCACACGATAAAATGTTTTTGCTTTTAAATCATTATGAAAACAAGCAACTCTGATATACTTTCTTATCATTATACAAACGAAGCAGTTAAGACCTTTATCATATTTTTAACTTCTTATATTATATTAATTAATACTGATTACGTTACGGCACAAATTCTAAAAGCAAACTATTCTTAGTGAGATGTGGGTTGTAACGTTTAAAATAGCTATGCTTTGTTATGTCAGTAAAAACTTGTTACCAAAAAGAACAATTGAAAATAACTTACGCACATATCGTGGACTATGAAATATAGTGATTTACATAAACAATTTTTAACTAGTAATAGAATATATGAACAATTCATCTATTAATAAATCTGATATACAAAATGCCTCTTAGTGTAGTAAATTGTCATCTCTCGAAGATTGACTCAAATTGCATCATTTGGTATTATGTTGAATTATTAAATATATCCATGACCTTTCTGTATAAAATATACTTTAAAATATATAGTTTTGTTATTATTATAAATATCAATCTATTTAACATCTTGAAGCAATCTCTTTTTAATATTTCTCGTAAGTTTTAGATTTCCAATTAGCAATTTTTTTGTTTTAGTAGTATCTACAATCATTATCTAAATTTATTAGTTTTTATCAAATATTTAAATATAAGAATCAACACAATCACTTTAGAAAATTAGACAGGTTATTGATGTTTTATTTACATACAACGAAAAGAGAAATTTATATTCATTTACATCTGTAACTAATATACAATTGATTTCTTCGGATGTTTTATTTATTTCCTAGTGATTTCTAGCGACGTCACCACAATTTGTGTTACATTGTTGTTGTTGTTATTACGCTTTTTGTACTGTATTCATTAAAAACTTTATGATATTGGACCGTGTTTCGCGATTAGTTTCGTCTTCAATGTGACTCACGTCCCCCCAAGGCCGGAACGCCGGCCGGCCTTACCTAGCAACATGAACGCCATTTTTTCATTTCTCTTTTTGTACAATTGTTTTGCGGACTCGCTGCCGCTGTTTAGGAAATTGTTACCGCTCCTCGGTTGCTACCGGGCTCGTTTTCGGCAACAATCACGCGCTGATTCTTTAATGATTTTATGTTTCTCTCTTCCTTTTGTGTAGCTGCGATTTATAATATTGCTTCCTGCATATTAAGTATTCTTATATCTTTACCAAAATTATCATCGAGGACGACCTTGATGGCTTTATAATTAATATTATTACGTATCTATGAACTATTTTCAATATACTAGAGAATATACATTGAAAGGAAAAAAGAGCGTTCAGAAAAACAAAAGATTAGATTTTTTTTGATAATATATCTAGTTGGAAGTGCTTCGGTAATGAATTGAATAGAATAAAATATTGAATTGCAGATTAGTGCCAAGTTTTTTCAACGAGATGAAGATGATGCAACAGTTTAACAACATTGAGTTGACTCTTCCATTATTGGTCTTACTTGTAGGTTATCTCACGCAACATCTACAAAAATAACGTTGTATATACATTTATTTATAAAAAGTATTTTTAATAGATTGATACGCAATCGTAAAACTTCAACAAAAACCATATCATATCAAAATAGATATATTATAATAAACATTTGCTAATGATCAGTCTAAAAACTAAACTAGTAAATTTAGAAAGGCTACGTCCATAGTCTGGTTTCATGGTTATTTCTGTTGAATTCGTATTGTTCTGAGATTATGATTACATAAAATATTTTTAGGTGGTTACTTACGATTCTTTGTATTCTTATGGCCCATTGTTTACATGTATCTAAACATTTTACTGATTATAATAAAATATAGAAAACAATAGAAAGACCGTGGTGTGAACACTCAAAATAGAAGCTGAGAATTATCTATTTTTCTAAATGAGGATTAAACAGTAATGAAATTATACATTTACTAACATTTGAACACACTTTGTCTGCTGTGATCTTATTCACAATAGCTATTAAGTTAGTTTTAACTGAATGGTCAAGAAGTTAAATAGATAAAGTGATTAAAAGATTATGTCGTAGTGAATTTTCTAAAATTTGAAATTTTTGGTCGTTTAAAACAGCATTTTATTAGAGTAGATAATACAGTTTTTCTTAATAGCTATTATCTCACATACTAGTTATTATTAAATAAATTTCCATACACAGCAAATGATGAAACAATAATGACTTTTTCAAATAGTTATAATTTACACATAAATATTAATATTATTTTTATTCCACATATGACATGAAATTTATTAATTTTTCTGAACTTTGGCACAGAATGAGAAGCTATCGTATCTGTTCATTATTTCTAGAACCTTCCATTCCTGGAAGTGAATACAAAATTACCACAAATGTTTAGAGCCGTAACCACTTCTTTTGTCCTTGACGGGTTATCTTTAATATATTGTGTAAGAACGTCCGATTAACTAGCCGTATCGACGCCTGATAACCACTAATCAGTACTGATAGCTTTAATAGAGAAAAAAACATGTCGATACCAGTCTATTTTGAAAATTGAAAAAATTTACATTTTGTAATAAAGAAAAAAATTGTTTCATTTTTTATCAGAAGACGAGAAAAAGTAATAGTAAAACAATTTTAAACGTCTTTGTTGTGTTTCTAGAATGTTATCTAAGAACGTCTAACTGGCTAGCCATATCGTCGCCGGCTGGAATTATCAATGCCGATAACGCATTAGAAAAACAATTTATATTGAACACAGATTTATAACATATAATTAACAAATTCATATGAAAAAATTACATTGTTAGATTACTAGAAAAAAAGTGAAAAATGGTATATCTTCTTTGTCCTTGGTGATTATCTTTAAAATGGTATTCAAGCTCGACTAGCCATATCGATGCCTGATAACTCTAATCACTCGGTTGTTAATATAGAAAATAACAATATACTTTAATTTTCGAAAACTACATTTTGAAAATAAAAACAATTAATTTGTATACAAAATCATAGTTCAATATAAACTCACATCCTTTACTCTAATATCTATGAACTACCTATACCTTTGTCTTTTCTAGACTACAGTCGATACATAGAAAAACTGATTGTTATAACAAAATAATATGACTAAACCTAAATGGAGTAACATCACATCGCTTTCGTAGATCAATAAACATCATTGTTATAAAATATGAATAGATTATAACATAACAAGATACGTTAGCGACACACAGTTAACTAAAACAACACAAAATAAATTATAAGATTGTCCGTTGACCAATTTCTTATTACATTATCTGTTATTCTTAACGATACACGTATATTTTAAATTCAGAACACTGTTTTTGAAAATCGAAACGACGGTTCCATCGATGGAACTAGAACAAAGAAGCCGGCCGGCTTACGCTCGGAAGCCGGTACAGAGCGACGCGGAGACGTCCTCCGAACACCGCGGCGGGGAGCGACTGGCGCGCGGGACCCCCGCGCTCGCCCGCGCCGCGCCCCGCGCACCCCCCGCCGCGGCTCTCTATATATATTGCGAGCGCTTCCCGATATCGCCAGTCCGTAACAGAAAGCGACAGGGTCGGGTGGGTCGAACAGTGAGCCAAGGGCGAGTGACGAAGCCCTGAGGTTACGAGATCAGATCTGATGCGGTCGTGTTAGCTCGGACGTTTTCAATTTCCCATCGATCTCTTCACGGTAACTAGTCGCCGGTCGTGAAACCGGTTGTTCAGTGCGAATTCGCAGTACAAAAGAGACTTGTGATATTTTTCTAGAATAAGTTCCGGAGCGGAACGGTTTAATTTTTCGTATTAAAAGTGTACAATATAAGTAAAAATTTGGAAAATATGGAGATTCTGCCGGTCACCAATCAGTTTAATGTTGGATTCAACAGTGATAAAGGTGAGTTGACTTTCTATTCTGTGTAGTGGTGAGGGAAGCGGTTGCTTTCTAACCGGCTCAGGTGTTGCTATGCGGCGCGCGCAGTACTTGGCCGCGAGCGATAAATTTAATGCCGAGATAAATTTGTGAATAAATAATAATCGATAGACTAGATAATGGTGAGACGAGATGAAATACAGTGAACAAGTGACCGGCCGGGGCCCGGGCGTACAACGTCAAGTACAGCTGACGTGTCAGCTGTTCCGCTGCGATGCGCTCCCTTGCCCTCGGCCGTGCGCTCGTTACACTCCATTGACATTTTCCCTTTGTTTTAAATTAGTAATTAAACTTATAATAGTGTTGTGAAATTTCAAAATAAAATAATATCGATAAATGAGAAATTCGAATTCTAAATTCAAATTAATTCGTAATTGCATTCGAAATTTAAACGTAATTTTCCTTTGTTATAGCATGGAATGGGCCGACATGGCGGGAAGCGCCGGTGCCGGTACCGACGGAGGCGGCGCTGGCTCAGAGGCTGGAAAGAGAGTTACGAGCGGCCAAGGGAGCCAGCGAGCTAGCGACCGCTGAAGTCTTAGTGCCAGCGGAGTTACTCGCGAGGGCGTCCCGGCAAACTCTAGCGTTAGCGGAAGGAGAGCCCTGTGGGTCTCGGGGTGCGGCGGTCATTGTCGACGTAGCTGGAAGAAGATTAGCAGCTTTCAAAATTGACCCCAACACTCTCACCACACATGAAATACACCTGCATTTGGAACACGATGCAACGAACTGGACTAGCCTGTTGCCGCAATTTTTAAAGTGAGTTCCCTTGCACTACTTTTATACTTGCAACAATAATTTGTAATTTTATAGTATGACTAAATAAATTGTAGTAGATATATGAAATATTAATTGTAATGACTTAATGATTATTTAATTACGTTGGCTAATTGTATATCGTTATTAACAATTGGTTTCTATTGTTATAGAAACTTAACGCGAGGCGGCACCATCATCATCAGCCCCCAGTTCACGATAGAAAAGAAGAAACTCTTCCGCGGCCAGGCCGAATGAACCGCCTGTGATACAAGCGCGTGATGCGAGCGAGCCGACTGACTGCCCTCCTCGATATCTACGTATCGTTATTTTAAAAATATCAATATTATTATATGTATATTATTATATATTTTTAATAAGAAAAAAAAGCACAGCGTGATATGTAATGTATAGATATAGAGTAAGCGCGCGTAACGGCGCGGTCTGTAGTTGTGTGCGGACGCGGCCGTACCGTCCAACCGGTGTAGTGATGCGAAATGGGCTTTGTATCGACAAAGTGTCGATATTCGCTGAACGACCGATGGTCGGACGGTGCGGCTGCGAGCGTGTACGTGCGGCGGCGCGCGGCGGCGAGCGTCGATCTCGTGTCCCTCCTTCACCTCCCCGCTCTCCTGTACCCACCGTTGCGCCCGCCCCCCCCGCGCCGGCCGCACTTATGTTAATCATTATATGATTATTGTTCGTATTTTATTATTGGATATTTTAATGATTGTGAGTGGTGTTGGTTGGACGCGTGAGTGGCGTGGCGGCGCTCGGTGCGCATCCCCATGATCTCAGTCGCCGCCGCGCGTGTGATACTGGTACCGTGAGCGACGTAGTCTTAGGTATTCTTTTTTGTTTCGAGTTCGATTCTATTCTGAAGTTGCGTAGAGTATTTCATGTATCGTAATTGTATTTATTAGAGTCGACCTCCCCGCGGAGGTCGTGGATATGTGTACGTTTTCGTAATTGTACTAGTTCGTACATTTGTTTGTGATACTACTTTTGTAATGTAAAAAGTTTAAAATGAGAAAAAAAATATATACTTTTATGAATGAGTACGTGCATGGGAATTATAGCGAGAGTTGTATCATAGAGTGGCGTGAGGAATCGGTGGCAATAAATGGCGAGGCGATCGCGCTACGCCGCGCTCCTCTCATAATGCAAAGATCTCAGATTATTTATAGGTTTAATAAAAAGTATTAAGTTATTTAAGTTAATATAAAGATTGTAATTTTTTGTAAGATTGTTGTCTATCGCTGCACACGGCCGCGATACGAGTGCGTCCATCGGACGTATAGATATATCATGTACTAACAGTACATATAATTTGACAATGTTATTGCAATTGAATGCATTTTCTTCAGCCAGTGTAATTGTTACATTAAATGTAAATCAATAGACTAACAGTTTTTAATAAAAATCTAAATGTTTGTAGGGTCCAGTATAAAACGCACAATATCATAGTACTAGATTTCACTTTCATCGAAAAAAAAAATATTTTAAAAATACTACAAAAACATGTTACTTTTAAACTTGAATTGTCAACATATACAAAACTAACAATAATAATAATTATCAATTGTTTATAATTGATATTTATTTGATAGACCGTAAAAGAAAATGTAGAAATTATTGAAAAAAAAAAATACATAGTTTCAATAATAGAAAGTACTTGTTTCAATAATCACTGCCTCTGCCTCCCGTTACCGGTTCCCCCAAACTCCTTCCCGCTATCCACTAGAATTAAGTGAAATTATTTGAAAGGCTCATTACAATGAACAAGAGAGGCTAAAAAAAGACTATATGACAAACAGGTAGATGATACTCGATGAGAAACAAAGAAAAAACAAAGTCATTTCCATACATTACCATGAAGTTAACCTAGCTAACAAGTGGCGAGGCGGGGCGATAATCATAAATTTATGCAACCGGTTTCATATAACCAGTTCAAACCAGTTGGCCATACGTGACCGGACTCGAGTATAGATTGGTGCAACCCCATCCTGTCAATTTTTTTATAAGCGATTAATTAATCCTTCTGTTTGAATACTGTAACTACCATATAGTAGTTTTTGGAGCTGTGACGTGGTCGAGTGGAATGAGTAGTCATGCTCACTAAAATGTCCAGACATGTGGCGGCGTGGTGGGCCGGATCATTGGGCTCCCTAAAATATGGTCTAGCGCAGTGATGGCTGGCTCATCCGTCATACTCGTAAACGAGTGCTGCTTGTAGGGACTGATCTGCTCTTATCACTACGACTGATTTAATCTTATTGTGTTTTTATATTTGAGCCTAAATAAATTAGTGCTGGTTGGTAGTTTGTATTCCCACGTTTGGACTTGTAAAATGTGAACTTACAAGGGTTGTTTAAAAGAGCAACACACAAGTTTCTTGCTTATTCTTCTTGTGATGGTCTCATCACATCACATCTCATACCGCTAAAAAAATGTTGACTGTTCAAAAGTGCTTAAATTAAGTTTATTTGAATAAATGATTTTCTATTCTATTCTATTCTAATTATCTATACTTCATTACATAGTATAAAATAAAGTGGCTGTCTGTCCGTCCCTATGTATGCTTAAATCTTTAAAACTACGCAACGGATTTTGAAGCGGTTTTTTTAAATAGATAGAGTGATTCAAGAGGAAGGTTTATATATATAATACATGTATACACATGCGAAGCCGGGGCAAATAGCTAGTAATATAAAGCTGAAGAGTTAGTTTGTATGATCGCACTAATCTCAGGAACTACTGGTTCGAATTGTAGTATTATTTTTGTGTTGGATAGTCCATTTTTCGAGGAAGGTTTTAAGCTATATAACATTACGCTACGACCAATAGAAGCGACGAATCAGTGAAAAATTTTGCAAAAACGGGGTAACTACACGAACGAAGCCGCTGGCATAGCTAGTCATATATAATGATACATTATTATACGAGCAGGTATCCCCTCCGATCGATCCCCCGTCCAATTCAAACGGGGATCGAAATTCCGACGGCCTGAGCCGAGGTTCGAACCCTTAGCGGTGCTCAGACTAAACTCGTATCCGTCAGGCGTGAATTGGCCTTCAGCCGCTCCATAAGTCCTTCCGCGGGTTTGGAGTGCCATCTGCACTCGCCCCCTATCGCACATTAGAGTAGTCCGAAAAAAAAACGGGCAGGTATGAAAAAAAAATTTATACAAATATAATAAATATCATATTTACCTTGATATATAGCTCGATTAGTATTCATAACATAATATAACTTCTAAAAATAAGAACCAGTATACAAAACGGTTTCTATCTTCATACAAACAAGATTCGAAGGTTTGAGAACCGCTCTGTGGATAAAGTAGTACACAATAATATAGATAGATAAAAAAATTATTCACGTTAAAGACATACACAAGGCACTGTAATAATAAGAACAGAAATAAAAACATATATATAATTACATTAGTCAAGTCAAACAAAATACAATACACAACATATATACAGATAAAATAAAATGCAATACAGATAACAAAAACGGTATGAGTAACGTGTGTGTGCATAGCCCATACGTAAAAAGGCAGCACCTCAGTGTATTGTTTGCAGCATACAAGCAGCAAACCACTGATATTCAGGCACTGCCCAGAGACATACGCGAGGACGCATGTAACAAGACCACAGCTTCTAATCAGCCCTATAATATTATCATAAATAGTAATTAAAAAAAACTATAATAAAATAAATTCAAATTCAAATTCAAAAATCATTAATTATGTAGGACATTTTAACCGTTTGTGAACGTCAAGTTTTTTATAGTATAATTTTAATTTTTTTCTCTACCGTCCAGTTCGATATATAGATCCAATTGAGAAGAACTGGATTGAATTGAAACTCAATTGAATTACTTTTTTTTTAAAGCCAGTTTATTTACAATGTATATTTATATAGGTGTCTATGTCTAACATTAAATGAAAATTCAGTGCATGAACAACTATTGCCATGCACACTCGTCATTCAAGTAATCGTTTAGTGAGTAATAGGCTTTGCTCAGTAAATATGATTTAACAGATGTTTTGAATTTATTTAAGGGTAATTCCAACATATCCTTTGGTATTTTATTGTAAATTTTTATACCTATTCCCATAAAAGACCTATTGACTTTTTCTAAACGATACTTGGGGACAGCAAGTTTGTCTTTAAATCTAGTATTAATATTATGAATATTACTGTTTTTTGGAAATAAGTCATGATTTTTATTAACATATAGGATATTTGAATATATAAATTGAGAAGCAACGGTGAGAATATTTGCCTCTTTGAATTTCTCTCTTAATGAGTCACGACTCTTCATACAGTAGATCGCTCGAACGGCACGTTTTTGTAATATGAATATATTTTTAATATCTGCCGCTTTTCCCCATAGTAATATTCCATAAGAGAGTAAACTATAAAAATAACTAAAATAGACTAATCTAGCAGTATCAGTATCAGTGTACTGTCTAACTTTACGCACGGCAAAAGCTGCTGAACTTAGTTTCGCTGCAAGGCTTTGAATTTGTGCACCCCATTGTGTTTCATTATCTAGTGTGATTCCTAGAAAGACAGTAGATTCTATGAATTCGAGAGATTCGTCATTTAATTTTATGTTGCAATTAGTATTAAAAATTTTAGACAGAGAAATAAGAAATAGGTATAATATATAGGCATAAAATATATACACTGTCGGCTGGAATTACTATTGTTATTTATGTGGGTATATTTTTGTATATATATGTATTTATGTATATTTGTATATTTACGTAGATACCTATGTAAAGATGTGTCAACACGAGCTGGAAGAATTCAACTGGTAAATGAATGAAGTGAAAGAGCGAGAGCATGATTCTGTCATCGAACTGACAATGATATGAAATTTTCCGATCATTTCATATCATACAATTTTCACTCGTCACAAATGTTTCAATATAGATTTGATGATTGTTATATTTTTTTTTGCATATTCGTCCAATTATGTTATCAATAAAATGATTATATATTTAATCAGCTAGTCATTACATTGTATAAAACAAAGTCGCTGTCTGTACGTCCCTATGTATGCTTAAATCTTTAAACTACGCAACGGATTTTGAATCGGTATTTTTTTAATAGATAGAGTGATTCAAGAGGAAGGTTTATATATGTAATACATGTACACCCATGCGAAGCCACCACCCGCCAGATAGTGTTAATATAAAACTACTGTATCATTACATGGATAAAACAAAGTCGCTGTCTGTACGTCCCTATGTATGCTTAAATCTTTAAAACTACGCAACGGATTTTGAAGAATGGTTTTCTTTAACCGATAGATAATTCAAGAGGAAGATTTATATGTTTAATAAAGGCGACAACGTAGCAATTCCCCTGGTGTTGCGGGTGCTCATGGAACGGCGGTAATAGTGTTAATATAAAACTACTGTATCATTACAAAGTATAAAACAAAGTCGCTGTCTGTACGTCCCTATGTATGTTTAAATCTTTAAAACCACGCAACGGATTTTGAAGAGGTTTTCTTTAACAGATAGAGTGATTCAAGAGGAAGGTTTATATGTATAATACATGTACACCCGTGCGAAGTCGGGGTGGGTGGTTAGTATAAAATAAATTATATACAGATAGTAATTTGCGGACACCACATTTCGAAATTAGACAAATTATATTTTCGGTACTATACCACTTGAATTGCAACAGCTAATTTCGTATCATACCATGGGTAAATTTGCTTTCTAACCACAGAAACTCTACGACATGATTGTTGCAACGCTCGTGACCGGACTATTGATTACAATTACGGATTACGGATTAAAATTCAATATTGCACATCACTACCTCGTCATAGAATAATAGTCTATATAAATAATAATAAATAAAAATAATATAAACAATAATAGTCATAGAAATAGAAATAAAGAATAGAATAGAAAATCATTTATTCAAATAAACTTAATTTAAGCGCCTTTGACGACCTCGGTGGTCTAGCAGTCTAGCACACCGCTTTACGTTCGATGGTCGCGGGTTCAGTTCCTCGCACGGCACAAACATTTGTATTCATGAGTATGATTGTTTGTATCGGTCTGGGTGTTTTCTATGTATAATATGTATGTATTTACGAAAAAAAATATCTATGTATTTGTATCGGTTATCTAGGACCCATAACACAAGCTTTAGCTAGCTTAACTTGGGACTAGATGGCGCTGTGTGAATTGTCCTGAGATTATTATTATTAATATCCGTAAGAAACTGCTATAAAATAAATATATAGATATAATAAATATACAGATACAGGGTGATATGTGAGTCATTCAGTATTGTAGTTACTTAAATCATTTCTTTTTTAGGTTTGATTGGGTACCTTATAGGTCAGAGCCAGGGAGGGGCAAACGCCCCATCTTGCCCCACCGTGACTACGTCCATGATTGCATCCATGACATCACTAACATTACAAGTGCCACTAATTGAATTACTAACAATCCCAACTATAAAATCAATTAT